AATAAATTCTGGGTTTTTATTTGGAGGTATCTCTTTTTTTTTCTGTTTTCTCAAGAAGGACTATGAATTTGTCAAAAGTAAAAATACAGAAAATTCTGTTTTTAGTTGCTTTATCCAAATATACCAATTTCAAAAATTAGTGAAAGAGCCCATTATAAATGCTCCGACTGGTTTGTGTTTTCTGTGAGCTGACCTAGGTATATTCTGAGTTCACAAAACTATCGGGTGATTATCTGTGGATCACATCTGTAGCCAATTTTAAGGGAATAACCAAACAAAATTGGTTTTTACCATTTGGGGTTGGTATTTACCACAACATTTATGCGACTTTGATTTTTCTTTTGGTTATGAGTCCGTGACGCCATGGATCAGCTTAAAATATCATACTTTTATCACCGCAAAATTGGGTTTTTATTTAACCCAGCTCAGGAATTGTTATTTTGCGGTTAATATAATATCAATGTCGACATTACGTTGTTGATGGGTTTTTAGCAGTTTATTCTTCCTATTTTTAGATTAAATCTTGCCGCTATTAATCTGTTTTCTTTCTTTTCTTTAAAAAAATTAACAAATTGGTAGATTTTCTAAAGAAATTATTGCCACACTGTCTTGAAAAAAAACTTTCTCGAATTATAACGACAAGTTTTTTTTCCTCTTTTTCATTTTCCCGCATAACAAAAGACAAGGGTTGAATAAAATACAAACCATACAGTGATACAACTCCCAAATCCTTACTCAAACTACTCAAGAATCGAAAAAACAATGAGAGGAAAAATGACGTTATCAAGTGATCTGTCATTTTAAACCTAGTAGTTTATGTTGCATTTATTAAAATCTCAAATATCCCAAAAAAAACAAATTTTCCATTGCACGTTGCGCAACCAACCAGCGTCTGCAAATAATTGAAGTAATGCAAATAAACGCCCATTTACAATAAATGATAATAATAATAATAAATAAATATCACAGTTTTGGTTAGTTGATTTTCCTCACGCTCATAGAAAAACAATTATTTCTAACTTATTCTCCGCTCTCTCTGGGGGAAAATAACGTTTCTAGAAAGAATTGAGAAATATAATATGCCTGAGACGCTTATCTCTAGATAACACAAATGATAAAATTCATTAATAGGACGAATTGCGTTCTTTTGCTCTCATTTAAAATGGTGTTTGTCCATTTTGCATGGTATTACACTTACCATAGGCCTTTTCGGAAATGCGATCTACTTTGTCTTTTTTCAAACATCTGATGATCGGGTTAATCGGATCAGCGTTCCGAAAAGGCCACAAGCATTCAGGAACGCAGTCCACTCTGGAGTAATTTTTTAGAGTAAAATGCCGATGATAGCCTGTTTGTTTACCTAATCAGCTGTTCGATTCGACGGTGGGAGGTGGGAGGGTGGGTATTACAAAACTATTTTGACAGAAAACTAAAGTTAACTTTTAGTTTTTGTTGAAGCACCCCAGATGACATCATACAGGCAACCTACCTCTCTCAAACAACTTTGCGGCTGCTGTACCTACATACAATTTGAATTTATTTCTCGGGTTTTCTGTAGTTTTCTAGGGAAATGTTAATATTATTATGTTGAAACCAAATTATAATTTATCAGTATCAAACATCTCTCTGTTCAATTTAAGTTCATGTCTCTAGAAATCCTTTATGTGCTAAATTTGATTTGTTGATGTACAATAATTGTTCAGAACAAGACCATATCTGATATCTACGAAGGCGTAGAAGGGACACCCAACTTTTTTTTTTCTCAAGTTTTAAAATTTCGACTTATAACTCGAAATTTTATAGTAAAATTTCGTGATATAACTCGAAATTTTAAAATTTCGACTTATAACTCGAAATTTTGTAGTAAAATTTCGTGATATAAGTCGAAATTTTAAAATTTCGAGTTATAAGTCGAAATTTTAAATTTTCGACTTATATCACGAAATTTTAAAATTTCGACTTATAACTCGAAATTTTAAAATTTCGACTTATATCACGAAATTTTACTATAAAATTTCGCCTTATAACTCGAAATTTTGTAGTAAAATTTCGTGATATAAGTCGAAATTTTAAAATTTCGAGTTATAAGTCGAAATTTTAAATTTTCGACTTATATCACGAAATTTTAAAATTTCGACTTATAACTCGAAATTTTAAAATTTCGACTTATATCACGAAATTTTACTACAAAATTTCGAGTTATAAGGCGAAATTTTATAGTAAAATTTCGTGATATAAGTCGAAATTTTAAAATTTCGAGTTATAAGTCGAAATTTTAAAATTTCGTGATATAAGTCGAAATTTTAAAATTTCGAGTTATAAGTCGAAATTTTAAATTTTCGACTTATATCACGAAATTTTAAAATTTCGACTTATTTAAGTCGAAATTTATAAAATTTCGACTTATATCAGTCGTAATTTTACTACTAATTTTCGAGTTATAAGTCGAAATTTATAGTAAAATTTCGTGATATAAGTCGAAATATTTAAAATTTCGTAGTTATAAATCGAAATTTATAAAATTTCGTCATATATCACGAAATTTTAAAATTTCGACTATAACTCGAAATTTTAAAATTTCGACTTATATCAACGAATTTTTACTATAAATTTTCGCCTTATAACTCGAAATTTGTAGATAAAATTTCGTGATATAAGTCGAAATTTTAAAATTTCGAGTTATATCAGTCGAAATTTTAATTTACGTGATAAGTCGAAATTTAATATTTCGAGTTATAAGTCGAAATTTTAAAAATTGAGAAAAAAAAAAGTTGGTTGTCCCTTCTACGCCTTCGTAGATATCTTATTGAAAAACCATGTGAAAAATCAAAATTATATCTCAAAGCCTGAAATTATGCCAGAGCTGAACAAAAAATAAACGTGAATTTTCTATTTATTTCAAATATTTATCTTTAATTTTTCATACAATTTTTTATTATGTATGCAAAGGTACCTAACTATTTCAATATTTTATATGCAAATTCCATACTTTATTTAAAAATTACTGAAATTAGATGTGATCGAATGTGATTTTTATTTTATAATAATGTAAAATAAACAAAAAAGACACGGGCTCGAAAATGATTGTAACTCAGGGCCGAGTTCAGAAATAACGCACAGGGTGTGAGTGCGATTTTATGGGTGTGCCTGAATTAACAATTGGCCATTGGGCCCATAGCACCATCTAGCATTTTTGAACAGCTAGGGCGTCGCACCAGTGTCACACTCACACTGGGTGTGTCATTCCTGAACTCGCCCCAGCGTGACAGCTAATTTTTGACACAGTTGAGAAGTGGAGTTCCGTTAATCCGCACCTCAGCGAGCAAAAAGATTACAGCAGGCTCGCGTGATCAGGTTTTGAAACTTCGAATCGAAGATCACGTGAGCTTCTGTCAACAATGTGATCTTTTATCTCGCGGAGGATTAACCGAACTCGCCTAAAGCCTAGTTCTCATGATGCGGAATTCCGGATTGCGGGTGCGAAATAATTCCGTTGGCGGGAAAACGTCAACTTTTTTGCGGATCCGCAATAAAGTTGAACCAATTTTCAAATTTCTAGCGATTTTTTTTTCTGTCTGTCTAAACATTTCTCATCTTTGTTTGATTTCTACATAAACAAATAAACTAACCTCAAACAAAAAACAATAAAACAATTAATACCTAACAAAAATAAATTGATCTGCTTGCTTGTGTGCTTGTTTTATTTTCAAATACATATTATTACGGCAAACCCCTTGTTCATGCCTTTTCAGAAGAATATTTCTGAACACTATCTTCCTTTTTTTGATATTCCTCTGCTATTCTGCTTCTTTGATGAAGTTTCATGCATATTATGGATTAATAGCAAACTCAATACTAACGTATATTGGGTGGTAGTCTGAATAAAAACGAAGTACTTGCTACTACTACAGGTAGTAGTATATTCTACGAAGTATTTACTTCACAACAAAGGATTTACTAATTTCCGGTAGTTTCGAAATGTAGTATCTACTTCATTTTAAAGTAAACACTACGAAGAATATACTACTACTTGTCGTTGTAGCAGATACTTTGTTTTTTTTCATACCTCCCTCTGTCTTTTCTATTGATAATAAAATTGTGCAATATAATTATCCATCCAGGCACACAGGAAAACAAAAACAAAAAATATGTTAGGTTAAGATCACATGTATTTGACATAAAACCGCATCCGGAATTCCGTTTCATGTGAACCATCAAAAATTACGATTTTCAAAAAACTGCGATTTCCGGACCCGCAATGCGGAATCCCGCACCATGAGAACTAGGCTTAAGATGTCGACGCAAAGATAATACATACTACTGCTACAATCACCATTTGTGACGTAGACAGCATGTCCTTTCTCGCCTTGACGTAGGCTGTTTGCACCACAGGTTATGATTCCGCGGACATTTGCTTTATGCATACTTGGTTTTACTACAATTAATTGACATTCCAAAACATCTAGTTCTTAGATCTCGTTTTCATCTTCATCTGCTGACAACTTAGTTAATGACGTCGGCAATGGTGATATACCAATATGGCGACGATTACCAAAAACGAGGCCGATAAGCAATCCTTAGTAGTGTGTATTATCCTTGGTGTCGACATACCTAAATAGGGCTATGTTCCGATATCAACTGCCAGTACTGGATTTACTGTGCTGATTTTACTGTCATTTGCCGTTCCGATTTCAACAGCGTACTCTTGTGGCCAAATCATTACTGAATCGACTGAATCCAGTGTACTGAAAATAATATCGGAACGGCGTCCAGTAAATTCAGTACTGACAGTTGATCTTTTCCACCAACACGTTTTTGGAACCACTCTGTAAACGAATTTCGGATTCTACGCACAAGTTTTTGGTTTTGCGCAGAATCGTGACGAACAATGGTACGGTTTCCTGCTGTGTTGGAACATAGCTTTAAATCGAAATATGTATACCTACACGCCACTGGAATCGCGAATGAACCCTACATTACCGGCAAAATTCAGAACCAAAACAGTCAAAACAAAACACCTGTTTGCCTGCTCAACTTTTCCCTTGTCGAATCTTTAATTCCAATTTTTTCATTTATTTGAACGTAACTACCCTCAAATTAATTTGTTTAAAGTCTCCTTTGATAATTTCTCATTTTGATTTAAAAAAAATATATATATCTTTCCGCTAAAATAAATTTGGCCATATCACTGTCTGCCATTTTTTGATCATTTTTTTTCCATTTCCACACGTTAGAGCTAACAGCAGTCAACCGGTGGTTGGTATGTGCTCGGGTTTGTGGCGTTTCGTTGTTTCTGTTTGCATCGAGAAACGATTGGTGGTAATCCCATTGATATAAAAGGTAATTTCATTTAATTTCGGGGACTTGAACCTAATGAAAAACTTTTCCTTTTAGCGATATTGCAAGGCATAAGCAAGAAGAAATCAATATGAATGTTGAAAAATTGAAAAAAATGGAGGGCGAAGTAAGGATTGGAGGCAAAGGAACACCGAGGAGGAAGAAGAAATATGTTAGATCCAACCAAGCAAACTCTGCCCAGGCCAACAACAATCAAATATTTCTAACAACCTTGCGAAGTCTAGGAATACACAATTGTGATCATGTCGAATTTGTCTTTGAGGAGGTAACTTCGTTAGCTATAAAGCTGCGTTTATACAGGAAGTAAAATAAAATAAAATAAAGAATAAAATTAAATCAAAAGATTGCCTTGGAAAGCCAAGGTGGAGTTTATTGTTTATACATACACAAAAATATGTTTTAATTTTATTTTATTTCCTTATAAACCCAGCTTAAGTTCTCGGAGACTTTTTTTATATCATCGGTCTAAATATCCCCTTCAATCCTTGCATCTCATCTCTCCACATTATCATGATTCTGAACCTTAGTTGAGGGGTAGGTGTACATATGTACATTTAATTAATTAGTACACCCAATTACATTCAATTGCGTTCAAATACATTTAAGTATTTACATTCAACTATATTCAATTACTTTCGATTGCATACAAATCTCGATACAAATACATTAAATTACAAAAAAATAAATAAATATAATTTGAATGTATTTGTAATTAGGTGTACAAATTCCTCTAAAAATTTTATCGAGTGACCTACCCCTTAACCTTTAGTGAATGTTTACATGGTTCACTTTGAATGATTCATCCCGAATGATCATCCAAAGTGAACCGTGTAAACGCTCTTTTAATATTTTTATTATACTGGGTGTCCTTGGATAAACTGACACATTTTGCAGGTACCTATCTCTAAAACAAGAAAAGATAACGAGATATTTTTTCACAGTATTGCTGAATCCTGTAAGTTAATTTTCTCATCGTCAGAAAGCCTGATTTTCCTACTTTACAAAAATTTATATTTTTTCAATTATCTTGAAGTTATCCATTTTTTTTTTTGATTTTTTTGCATCTGAGTGAGAAAAAATTCCAAATTCCATTTCTAAGCCTGAGATCCATTTGTGGTTTGTTTTATTCGATAAAAAATCCCTACTCAAAAAATCCTGGAAGTTTGAAGTCCCTCTGATTGCTTGTATTTTTCGGAAGCTTAGAAAGGTCATTCAATAGAAATTTTTAAATGCTTTTTTTGCATCTTATAGTGAGAGAAAATTCATTATTCCATTTCTGAGCCTGAGAGGTTTGTTTTGTTTGATGAAAAGACCCTACTCAATGGATTCTGAAAGTTTGAAGTCACTCCGAGGGGGAATCCACCTACTTAATTTTGTACACCAAAAATTCTAAAATTCTGAAAAATGCTAATTTTCGTGTTATTGTCTCAAAAGATTCTAGAAATTCTAAAAAATTCCAAAAATCCCTACAGATTGCGCAGGCTCGAGCATTCGCAATAGGTAAAACTTCTAAATTATTTCTAAAAAATTCTAATTCAATTCTAAAAAATACTAAAAAATGTTAAAAAATTTGGCATGTGATCATTGCAATCGATAACTTTCACATAAAATAATAACTCATAGTTACCTTTAAACCAATTGGATGGGTTACCTTGATTCTCATGGCCATAAAAAAGAAGTACCTTGCGGTTTAGTGGGTAGTCATCATATGCGATTGGTGAGTATAGGGTTGCCATCCCACCCGTGTCCACAACTCTTTGGTGGCCGGGCGTAAACTACTCTCTTTTCTCCGATAGACCGATGTTATCGTTGCAATAGCTGAAAATTGGTGGACATATTCTTTAATATGTCTTCTCAAATAATATATAGGGTTGCCTCGATTTTGATGGCCGAAAATGATGGCAACCGTCATTGAAAATCGAGTGTGCGCGGTATTTTTACATGTAAAAATGTCACTTTAAACTTTGATTATTGTTAAACCTCCCTCAAAATGGTCGGTGCAAACTGCTATTAGTGTTTTGTTGCTGGGCGGCAACACTTTAGCTTTGTTCCAACCCAGCAGGAAACCGTCATATTACTGTCAGGATTCTGCGCAAAACTTGAAATTTTTGCGTAGAAACCGAAATTCGTATACAGAGTGGTTTCGAAACCGTTCTGAGACGATTTTTTGACGAGTTGGAACAAACCTTTTATTGACACAATTTCACGTTTTTTTTTTTTTTTGTCTAAAGACCTAAAACTATACTTATGCTTTCTACAACGTTGCCACAGTTGCGAGAAGAGTCGGTTGTGATGACCTCTTTTTTCCGATTGGATTGTGCGCTCCAATTCTCCAATTTTTTGACATGCTTACTTTGAATTCATAAATACTACAATATGTTTCGTTTGTGGAGAAACGCATGGAAAAGTCCTAGACTTTACTGTGGATCATTTTGAAGATTGCCGCTAAAATCAATTCAACATATTTGTGGTTCTTGTGTTTCCGGAACGCGATGTTCAAAACGATCCACAGTAAAGTCTAGGACTTTTCCACGGGTTTCTCCACCAAACACGGCTATCCATGTTGGAGTATTAATGAATTGAATTTCTAGACAAATATCTCAAAACATTGGAGAATTAGGCACTAGCTGACATCACACACATAACCTCACTTTCGATGGGCAGACAAACAAAGCGTTCGAGGACTATTTACACTGAAAACTGTGGCGCTGATGAGAAAAACGTCACTGTGTTGGACTTGTCTGAACAGGTAATAAGTTCATTTGAGAAATACGTTTGTTTGTCCTATTGAAGTAGGTTTGTCTCGATGACATGTTTGTCCACCTATCGAAAGTGACGTTATCTGATTTGTGACGTGATAGCTAGCGCCTACCTAATGGTGTGTATAAATGGTATAAATCTGGGTATAAATAGTCCTTCAAACGCTTTGTTCGTCCCCCATCGAAAGTGAGGTTATGTGTGTGACATCAGCTAGTGCTTAATTGAAGCGCACAATCCAATCGGAAAAAATCGTGAGAAATCGTCACAACCGACTCTTCTCGCAACTGTGGCAACGCTGTGAAAGGCATAAGTACATATAGTTTTAGATCTTTAGACAAAAAAAGTAACATGAAATTGTAGTAATGAAGTGTTGGCCGCCCACCAAAAAAACACTAAAACATATTTATTATAAATCTAATTTTTTATTTTATTCAAAAAATAACGCGCGCGCTCGACTTTCAAAGACGGTTGCCATGATTTCCGGCCATCAAAATCGAGACAACCCGATATATTATTTGAGAAGACATATTAGAGAATATATCCACCAATTTTCAGCTATTGTAACGATGACATTGTTTTATCGAAAAAAGGGGGTAGATTACGCCCGGCCTCCAAAGGGTTACGAGTGCGGTAGCAACCCTATACCAATCGCATATGATCACTACCCCCCACACCGCAAGGTACTTCTTTTTTGTTGCTCTTATGGTTTTGTTTTATTTATAAAATTAATAAAAACATCTTTTTATCAAGCAACTTAACTGCCATGAGAATCAGGGCAACCAATCCATTTGGTTTAAATATAAGTATGACCTATTGTTTTATGTAAAAATTATCGATTGCAACGATGACATACCCGTTAATATTGCCGTCTCTCCTACCATTAACAAAGTGCAATTTTTACAATGTGATTTCAATAAAACTAATTATTTCCATTCCCGGATTTGAAAAAAAATATACCTTTTTGTATAGTAGAAAAATCAGGCTTTTGACGATGACAAAATATACAGGGTGTTTTATTGAAAATGAGGCAGTAATTTTATTGTAAAAAATCGTATGTCTGTAAAACAAAATTTCAGCAAATTTTAGGATTTGCCAATACTCTGAAAAAAAAATCTTTAAAAACTTCTTATTCTCCCAGAACAAGCCGCATCTCGTGCAAAATGTTTCAGTTTATCCAAGGACACACTGTGCATAAATACTTGAATACCAGCCAAGGTCCCGATGTTTTATTGTTGATGGACCACTTTTACTTACAGTGGCATTTTCTGACCCTCTAACTCTATTTTCTCAAAACGCCAGAAGAAATAAAATAAATAATGTTGATTTGATTTATAGTCCTTGTAAAAAAATGGGGTTCCTTTGAATGCAACTTTTTATGGAATATCCAACCTCATAAAATTGCTTTAAAATGTTCATTTTTGGTAAAATGTGGTAGATATAAACTAAAAGTTGACAAATTAGGTATCATGAAACAAAAGACAGCATCCTCGACATCCTAAAACATACCTATTGTTATTATTATTTTCTCCATTGAATTATTTTTTTTTTGTCAGAGGAAAATTTGAATTTAATTAAACACCCATTCGCTGGGTTTTTTCCATTGGCCTTAGCTTAGTTTCTTATCGATGGAATGCTGTTAATGTTATCGAAATAATAAAGTCAGAGCAATAAAAACACAAGCTTACCTCAACCTTGACATATTTATTTTATTTTTTTCGTTTTTTTAATTAGTAACTAATAAAAACCACAACAAATTCTTGGGCCTCAAAATTGATAAGGCCCTCAAGTTTGCGGATCACATTTCTAATGTTCGTAAAAGGGTTTCTTCGGGATGTTACGCCTTAAAAGTGATATCTAAGAGCTTGGATGTCTCGGTTCCTAGGAATGCATACTATGCTTTTGAGGTTGCTGCACCCGTTCATTGTTCGATTCAGCTGCTCCAGAAGAGGGCAATCCGTTGTATATTCAGGGTTAGGACTCTTGATTCCTGTCGCCCTCTTGTCATCGGACACGCTTTATTCGCTGTTTATACTGGAACTGGTGTGCATGATGTTCAGGAAGTACGGGGCTGTGTCACAACTGGTAGAACAGTCAGTTATATATGAAGGTAAAAAACTGTTCAATCACCTTCCAATATAAATTAGAAAGCTTCAAGAGTTTTAGGAAGCAGGTTAAGGCTTTTTTGGTTAATATTATAGCCTTGATGAGTATTTTAATTAAATACTTGACTATGACTTGATACTGGTTGAGGTAATATATTGTTGGACTTTGGTTTTTGACGGCAAGTGACATGTATCCTGGTTCCTATTGTAATGTGTTAATGTCATTCTTTGTTCTACACTTTTGTGTATTGTGCTCAATACTTTGTTGTTTTATACTTTTGTCTGTTTTTCATGCTTTGTTAAGACTTATTTTTTTTCTGTTTTTTGTTTTTCATTCTCTGTTTTCACTCGAGCTTTAGTTTTAAGACTTTATTTTAGTACAGCTTTCTCAGCATCATTTTTGTTTTGAGACAATATCTTTTGCATTTGACTTATTATTGTTCTCAGGATGATGAACGCGTGCCAGATTTACGTGCTCACGCAGGATTTCACGTGCCACCAGGGCCAATTGTACCTGATATGTTTGATGAAACCAGCAAGACTGAGATTCCCAAAACTGATAAAGCTAAGCAGCCGGAAAGCCAGACGCAAGTGCCGAGCACCCATGGAAAAGTAGTAAGTGCTTAGGTTAGATTGACAGCTTGTTTTTTCGTTTTTCATGCTTTAATCTTCTATAGCAGGAGACATGGGTTTGAGTGCAGTGCCAGCCTTAGCAGAAGCGACAGGTTTTTAAAAATTATTTATTGAGTGTTAATATAGAGTTTGTTAAATTATTTATCCATTATAATATCGGGTGTCACAGCCAAAATTGCAGCATTTCCATAGCTAATATCCTCGAAACTAGAAAAGATAAAAGGATGCGGTTTGCACCATTGTTTTTAATTACCCGATACCTACATTTTTTGTCCATTATAGAAATATTCTTTAGCATTATACCAAATGCATTTTGTCTACTTTCCAACTGGCAAGCATGTCTTCAAGAGCTCATGACAAGCTTTGTTTCAGAAATAAAAGCATCAAACTATACATTATTCAGGAGCCTAAAAAAAAGCTTCCTCACGATGTAAAAATATATATGTATATATATCCAATTTAAGAAAACTGAGTTTTGTGAAGTTATAAAAATTCAATTTTTCATTATCATTGGTATAATGCATGGTGCAAACCGCATCCTTTTATCTTTATTAGTTTCAAGGATATTAGCATTAAAAATGCTTTAATTTCGACTGGGACACAGTGTTCTACAATAATATATGCTTATTAGATTACAAAAAAATTCGTATAGGCGTATCTACTTTTAGAGATTTTTAATTGAGTGTAAATATAGAATAATTTGTTTTCAATTATTTACTTTTTAATTGGTTTATACAACATTTGCTTATCATAATCACAATTTTAGTCTTAGTCTTTAAGAGTTAAAACAATAATTTCTTATGGAACCGTTTATACAAGAATCACAACCATAATCATAAGCATAAGCATAACTTGGTTGGCCTTAAAGTTCCTTACTTTTAACTTTTACGACCGAGAATCAAAAAGCGCAAAATTTGTCAGCTGTTTCATTTCACCCAAGAATCGATTTTGCGTAATTTCTAACGTATTGTTTTAGTTTTGTTTTTGTTTATTTTTTCAATTTTTTTGAGCAAACCAAACTGATTCTCTATTGCCGCAGCCATAAGTGAGGCAAAGCTTAGAAATAAATAGGAAAGAGCTATAACTTTGTATATTTTTCTCTTGAATAATTTTGATTTCGATAATTCCAACTCTTTGCACTTTGAAAAAATAAACAAAACTGAGAAAAGTAAGTATAGAACTGCCAACTGAATCCACAAAAAGTCGGGTTAGACTTGATTTTATTTTATGCTTATGACATTGTATAAACGCCTTGTAAAATTGTGATTAACATTAAGACTATGATGACTATGCAAATGTTGTATAAACCCGCTATATAATACATATTACAATATGTATTAGAATCCAAAAAATCCGCATGGACCATTTGTATTTTTAAAGATTATTCATTGAGATATAGGATAATTTGTTTTTAATTATTTACTTATTAATTGTTACAATAATATATGTGCATTAGATTACAAGCAATCCGTATGGACTGTATGTAATATTTAAGTTATTTTCATGTGAAATAGATTTTAAAAAAAGTAGAAGGCACTATTTTTTTACATGCTTAACGTGGTTCATTAATTATTTGTTGTATGTTTTTGTTTATTTATTATTTCAAAAAAAGTGCAGTTTCGAGCTGAAAAAAAGGAACAAATAATCAAAAATCAAAAATGTCTACGTTTGCATCGTTTTGTTCCCAGACCTCTTCTAGACGAGACTATATAGAATAGACTTAACTCCATATTTTGTATCGACTCTTCTGGTCCTTTTACCTGGTCTTCTATTTTTGTTAGTTGGCAGTAGACATGACACTTGACTGGGTCCAAGCAATCACTTGCAGCCTACATGTTAAATTTCCCATGATAGCAATCTCACACCAGTGAGGCCTCAAAATCTTTGCATATAGTTCCAAGTTGGATGGGATGGACAAATTACATTATATTAAAATAAAATGTATCACTTTTTTTGTTGAGTGTATAATGTCTAATTTGAGGCCAACTCAATCAACTTGCAGTTTCCGGTTGCTTTGGGCAAGAACATACTGCATTACGGTTCAAATTGAACCAAATCCCTAATGCAAAGCTTTAGGAGCATGATTTTATATTATCTTAGATTTATCAAGTTTGTTCTGAAAATGATAAATATAAAATAGAGTCCAAACGAAATAAGAACCACTTTTAAAGAGACCTTTATTTTTATTAAATTTCGAATAACCCTGGTGGATTGGGTTTTTGGGGATTATTGTAATAGTTTTTGTGTTAACTTAACTACCCAAAATTATATATTTGTTCCAGCTTTCAACAGTTTTGCACCTGAGAAGTTTCAAAATTGAATTTATCGAACATTGAAAATTTTCCAAAAATGACACTGAGACAGTTTTTGTTTCACAGCTCTGTTAATTTTTATCCGATTTCGATGCATTTAGGCTGTAATTGAAGCCAATTAAATTCTCTTAAAACCTATCAATTATGATTTTGATTTAGTTTCAACTGTTTTGCAGCTGAGAAGCTTCAAAATTGAAATTATCAAACATTGAAAATGTCACTGAGACCGAGACTGAGACATTTTTGGCCTCACAGCTCTGTTGGTTTTTATCCTATTTAAATGTTATTAAACTCTAACTAAAGCCAATTAAATTTTCTACAAACCTGTTGATTGGGATTTTAATTTTTAATTTATTTATACAGTGTGTCCACTTAAGTTCGGAGCATATGGGAAACTTTTTTATTATCAATTTTACGAAAAAAAGTTCTTTATAAAAGTTTCTGCTTCTTGAAAAAATACTATTAAGCTATTAAAACTTACAATAGCATGTACAGGGTGGGCCAATTTGGACACTTTCTTATGGAAACACCCTTTATTTTTAGAGATAGAAAAAAATGAACCCCCCGCTTTGAGACTCAAATTTCATGAAATTTTGATTGGTGCAAACCGCATTTTGATATCTTTAACCGTTTAGCCGCTAGAGGGCGATTCTCGATTTTGAACAATATTGTAAATCCTTCATAACCTTTTTGTTTATGAAAATAATTGATTTCCGTAAAAACTTTCTGGAAGCACTTTTCCAAGCAGAATTCAGTGACGTTCTCAGTTTTTTTCTATTTGGCGCCGATTTTGAGATATTGACCAAAGTCTGATTTTTTTCAATAAGTCACCCTTTATATTATTAGCTCATTCAAAAGCTATGATTTTTCTGATTTTACTGATATAAAGTTCGATAGGTTTATCTCGAATAGTTTTTGAGAAAAAAATTATTTTGGTTTTTGTCATAAGAAACAATATGTTAGAAAGAGACCTTTTTCATTTTCCTTACAGATATAAAATCCTTTTCTAACACATTGCTTCTTATGAGAAAAACCGAAATAATTTTTTTTCTCAAAAACGGTTATAGATAAACCTATCGAACTTTAAATCAATAAAATCTGAAAAATCATACATTTTCAATGAGCTATTAATATAAAGGGTGTCCTATTGAAAAAACAGTCTTTGGTCAATATCTCAAAATCGGCGCCAAATAGAAAAAAAACTGAGAACGTCACTGAATTCTGCTTAAAAAAGTGCTGCCAGAAAGTTTTTACGGAAATCAATTATTGTCAAACGGTTGAAGATATCAAAATGCGGTTTACACCAATCAAAATTTCATGAAATTTGAGCCTCAGAGTGGGGGGTTCATTTTTCTCTATCTCTAAAAAGAAAGGGTGTTTCCATCAGACAGTGTCCAAATTGGCCCACCCTGTACAGGGTGGTCAGAAATTAGAAAAATATACAGGTTTTTTTGGTAGAAGTAGAAAAAAAAAGGCATGTCACTATTTTTTTAAACCTTTGATATTTTTTTCAGATTAAGCAAGTCATATTACAGTCAAAGGATACCTTTCGTTATCACAAACAAACCTGCCAAATTTGAAAAAAAAAAATGGAAAAGATATTTTTGAGCTAAAAAACCGATTTTTTCTAAAACTTTGACACCGTGTACTCAGAAACTACGCATTTCCGGACACATGTTTATGGGAATTTTTTTTCTTAAAATATTGTAAGGAATCACATCCTGAAGTTACGAACCGTACTTCAGAAACACCCTGTATATTTTTCTATTTTTTGACCACCCTGTACATGCTATTTCAAGTTTCAATAGTTTAATAGTATTTTTTCAAGAAGCAGAAACTTTTTTTCGTAAAATTGATAATAAAAAAGTTTCCCATATGCTGCGAACTTAAGTGGACACACTGTATAAGCAATCCTTAAAGCCTAGTTCTCATGATGCGGAATTCCGGATTGCGGGTGCGGAATTTTTGAAATAATTCCGTTGGCGGGAAAACGTCAACTTTTTTGCGGATCCGCAATAAAGTTGAACCATTTTCAACTTTCTTGCGATTTTTTTTTCTGTCTTTGTCTAAACATTTCTCATCTTTGTTTGATTTCTACATAAACAAATAAACTAACCTCAAACAAAAAACAATAAAACAATTAATACCTAACAAAAATAAATTGATCTGCTTGCTTGTGTGCTTGTTTTATTTTCAAATACATATTATTACAGCAAACCCCTTGTTCATGCCTTTTCAGAAGAATATTTCTGAACAACATCTTCCTTTTTTTAATATTCCTCTGCTATTCTGCTTCCTTGATGAAGTTTCATGCATATTATGGATTAATAGCAAACCCAATACTAACGTATATTGGGTGGTAGTCTGAATAAAAACGAAGTAAAGTACGTTTTTTTTTAAAGATAATTCCCCAAGTCAAAAATTTAGTAACTTTGTTGGCAACACAAGCCTTTTCTGCACAAAAAATTTGAAAGCATTGACAATTTTACATTGTATTGCCAACATAATGTCATTTTGACTATTATCTTTAAAAAAAAAACAGATTTTACTTGCTACTTCTACAGGTAGTAGTATATTCTACGAAGTATTTACTTGACAACAAAGGATTTACTAATTTCCGGTAGTTTCGAAATGTAGTATCTACTTCATTTCAAAGTAAACACTACAAAGAATATACTACTACTTGTCGTAGTAGCAGATACTTTGTTTTTTTTCATACCTCCCTCTGTCTTTTCCATTGATAATAATTTAATTGTGCAATATAATTATCCATCCAGGCACACAGGAAAACAAAAACAAAAAATATTGTTAGGTTAAGATCACATGTATTTGACATAAAACCGCATCCGGAATTCCGTTTCATGTGAACCATCAAAAATTACGATTTTCAAAAAACTGCGATTTCCGGACCCGCAATGCGGAATCCCGCACCATGAGAACTAGGCTGTAGTGTGTATCATCCTTGCCAAATCACTGGTTATTCACTATTCACTTAAAATTGATTTATAAACGCACTCATGAGGCAAGGATAATACACACTACCAAGGATTGCTTATCGGCCTCGATTTTGGTAATCGCCGCCATATTGGTGTGTCACCATTTCCGACGTCATAACTAAGTAGTCAGCTGTTTGCACTAGCGGTCGTAGTTTAGAATTTAAATTTATGAAGAAAACTATTATTTAATTTTGATTAACATAATAGGCAAAGAGGAAGATGAAACGAGATCTAATAAAGAGTTGTTTTAGAATTAATTAATGTAGTAAAACCAAGTATGCATAAAGCAAAAGCCCGCGAAATCATAACCTGTAGTGCAAACAGCCTACGCCAAGACGAGAAAGTACATGCTGCCTACGTCGCAACTGGTGATTTGGCGAGGTGGGAGGCTGCAGATTTGCTCCACACAGGCCTTACGAGGAGAGGCTATCCTGTAGTAGTAGTGTGTATTATCCTTGCTCATGAGGTTTGTTTGTTTTTGTCGCATTAACTTGAACTGAGCTGTAATATTTCAGATTATGGCAGATAATAACTATAATCAACGTTCCTCAGTTCATTGCCATAAAACAAACGAACGCCCCAAAGCATAGGAAGTGCTGCTCCGAACAACACAAACACACAAACCCTTTGACATTAGACAATTTTTCGCGACAGAATTTTTCCAAAGACTATAGTTCGAATTATGTCACGAAAAATAGCCTACTGTGAGCGCGTGAGATAATTTATGGCGTCACAGGTTTACCCTGCTCTGACAAAAAAAAATGGCCCGATAGTTTCTGCACCGAGTCATTCATGAAAGGCCATGGCTATGTTCCGATATCAACTGTCAGTACTGAATTTACTGGACGCCGTTCCGATATTATTTTCAGTACACTGATTCAGTACTGAATGACCCCCAGATAACGCTATTGAAATCGGAACGGTAAAGCCTAGTACTCATAACTGCGAAATTCGCACTTTTTTGACATTGCTTCGACAATTTGACGTTTGATTCACGCATAAAACGTCAATTTGTCGAAGCAATGTCAAAAAAGTGCGAATTTCGCAATTCGCAGTTATGAGTACTAGGCTTAAATCCAGGTACCTGGTAGTACAGTGGCTAAATAAACCTTTACATACAGTGGCGACAATAGAGGTCCCGCCGTCATCTTGTTCCCAACCTTTTGTTACTTTTAAATATTAATGTATAGGCTTTAAATGGACATCTATTATAAAAAATTGAAATCGACGTATTTGATGACCATTATTAGGTCCATCAACTACGTTGTTTTCCATGATTTATGATGGATGTTCACCTAAATCCCATATATTCATATTTAAAAGTAACAAGAGGTTGGGAACAAGATGGCGGCGTTTCAATAGAAACATATGGGATTTTAGAACCAATCAAAAATAGGACAGCAATTGTCGCCACTGTGGTAATAGAGTCACTGTACCTGGTAGTTGATATCGGAACATAGCCCATTCCTTTTTTCATCGAGCTCTCCTCCATTATTATATCATTTCGATTTCCTATGTACTAGACAAAGACAGACTGCTCATCGGTCAGTACACGGTGGAAAAAAGAATGCGCCTGCGACTTCACTGCTCCGTACCCTAACCCCACTCGGCCCATTTTTGATAAGCTTATACCAGAAAAAATAATAAAAATTTAAAATATACAGAATATTGAATATTCCACCACACTCTTCCAAAAACGACGACACGCGGCCACGCGACGATGTCTTCATTAAGCAACGCTCAGTATGTTGAGCACAATTTAACAACCCTGTCTGAACCAGGAAGAATTGGTACCTAGATATTTTCATTAACCTTATAAATACCAAACTTATTTTACTTTTTTTCCGAAAGGTTTATCCAAATTTCAAGCCACCAAAGTCCGACCCGTAACCAACAATTACGTGGAACTGAGATTTGGCTTCCAAAACTACCATTATCAGGTGGAAATCCCATACGCCGGAAGCACTCTCAATTGGAGTATCATTTTTGATCTGGAAGACTACGGGGAACTGCCAGATTTCGAATTCGATGACGAGACCTTTCTGCCAGAGCCCAACGTTGAATTAATTGCCAATGAGATTCCAAGTTGGGACATGTGGGACTTGACCAATCCCCTAGCTGTTACGAATATTTTAAACGAGTTTTTGGCTCTCTACAAAAAAACACAATTGGAAAAATTGATGAAGTTTTCCCATATTAACAAGGAGTATGAGGATTTATTGAACAAATTTGGATTGTCTTCTGATAGCATTGAGGTGCTCATTGAAAAAAAACCAGGAAACATCAACTACAGAGGATATGATTTGATTAACTTTTTAGTGCACTTACCAGTTGATTTCAAAAAATCGCCATACTATCAACAGGAAGCTGAAAATCTTGGTAATCCTGGTGAGGATTTTGTGTATATCAAGGTTCAAATTCGGATAAGACCTGATAACGAAGAACAACCAAGAAAAATATTTTTGAACACGGTATCTCCCAGAGTTCAACAACTTTTGGAAACATTGGAATTTCCAAAATTTTCGAATAGAGATTCTCTATCCACTTATACTGGAATGGTACAAGACTTCATCGAATCTAATATTAAATAAGGTTTGGATGCAGATGTGACTTTCTTATTTCTTATTTGAAATTACTTACTTAAAAATTTAGTTTATAGAAAAATAGTTTTGTTCCACATGAAAATATTTACTTATCTACAGTGTGTCTGGCTTAAGGACTGACCACCCTTCTAAAAATTCTATTTTTTAACCGATTCAATTTTTTGTTTTGTTTTATATCTACTCGAATTTGGCACTCACCTATTAGGCCCTTAATTTTTTTTCTGCGGCCATATTGGTATACAGGGTGTCCACATTTATAGGCTCAAACTTCAATAAGTACTATTAGGGATTTTTTTTAGAAAAAATCTGCAAATTTTCGATTAGAATGGTCTAAAACCTAAATGTACTAATTTTTGTTTCAATACGATACACGGTGATCACAACAAATTTTCAAAATTTAATAAATCAAACCACAAAAATGTCATATTTTGAGGCCTTGAGAACAACAAAACTTGATACAACATAGTTTCAGAACATCCTTAACCAAAACTTGTAGTAAGCTTGTCTCAAAATATGAAATTTTTGCGGTTTGATTTATTAAATTTTGAAAATTTGTTGTGATCACTGTGTATTGAAACAAAAATTAGTATATTTGGGTTTAAGACCGTTCTAAACAAGAATTCGCTATCAGATTTTTTCTAAAAAAATACCTAGTAGTAGTTATTGAAATTTGAGTCCATAAATGTGGACACCCCCCAGAAATAAAATTATAGGCCTAATAAGTGCCAAACTTGAGTAGATATATGACAAAAAAAATTAAAAAATTAGGAGGGTGGTCACTCCTTAAGCAAGACACACTGTATATGTAGTAGGTACCAGAAGTACATTGTGTTTATGGCATTTCATGAGAAATGTTTTTTTTAGAATGTGTTAGATTCCCATTTTCAACACTTTTGATTTATAGGGTGAAACTTAAGATTATTATAATATGATTTAATTTTTTTCTCAAAATATATCAGGATCTAGCAATCCACAAAAATGTTCTTGATACTGTGACGAATCTAATTGGAATATTTTCCGGTATTTTAGAATATCCTGGCTGGAAAGAATGAAGATTATGCCTCACACATTGATTGTAGAGGTTTATATTCAATAAATTTAGCTAAGGATTTATAATAAATTTATATTTTTTTTTAACAAAAAGATCACTGAACCTTATTAGTTTTCATTGCAGAACATTGATGTGATAGATTTGAAATTGAAAATATAAATATGTGGCACAAAAAACATTCCATTTTTTATAATAATATTCTGCTATACTTTTTTATTGAAAACTGGAAAGTTATCAAAAAATACTGTGTTTGTCCTCAGGTGTTTTTATACTTATTTTTCTGTTATTTCCATTATATTCAGTAATATAATGCCCAATACATTCCTAATTTAAGCAGCAACTGATGAATACACAAATAAACTCTGATAATTCACCCCTAAATCATTTATTGCAATCTGTAAAACACTATTATTTATTTTGATCCAGTATCTATCATAAAATAACACTTCTATGTATACAGTAAACTGGCACCTATATGAGAATAATGAAAATCTAAAATAATTAATTGTCCAAATAACACAGGTAACGGAATACCATGACATCTTGGATCTAAATGCATAATGGATTCGTGTCTTGTGAAATTCCCTGGTTTTGAACTCCACCAACAGCTGCACCCTACAACTGTCAATATCATGCATTTGAATTGGTTCTTTCAAGATACATAAGGGAGACGCAGGATAGATGAACCAAAACTATGGCAGTAGTAGAACTTGCCAATTATAAGCCTATTTCAAAAATTTAACATTTTTCTTAATCATTTGAAGAAGTAATTGTGAATTTAGGTTTAAATATATTTGCAACATAGATTACTTTGTCAGCGTCTTGAAGGATAAATATTGGGCTCCCATTTGAACTGAATTCTCCAAATCGTTCGACAGCAGATAATTTGGCTTTCTGAGTCTAGGATTTATGGAGACTTTGACATGCAGATTTGTTCTTTCCTCTATAGCAGGAGCCAACAAGAGAATTTTCTCTCTTACACGATCACTGGTGTGGCTTTTGGCCCTTCTGCTGTTTTGTGCGTTAACGAATGACTGTTTTCTCAATAAAAAAGTACTGATGATATGCAGATAAGTATTGGTGCATGAGGATTTCAACTTTGAATAGTGGTGCAATTTGATTAGATTATATTCCAATATTTCATCTCTATATCCAATTTGGCAGAGCTAAGAACCCTATTTAGGCTATTTTTTGAATTCTGTTTCACTGCACACTAACTTTTATTCAACATTTTTTGGATGTTTGTGCAAAAATTGTGTTCTGTGAAGCGCAATTTGCATTCAACGACATTGTTCCAATCAAAACTCCTTATGTCTCATTGGTAAGATCACAACTTGAGAGGTGTACTATAATATTCATATTGAATGAGTTCAGAGAACCACCTTAACCCTGCTATGATGGAACGAGCGTTGGGTCTTCAAGCTTCATTGATTGAAAGAAGCAATTACAACTTTATTCTTGCTCTTGAAAGATTAATGGGAAAACTAACTGCATCGAGATTTTGATTTGATGCTCTTGAATTTGGGATCTCTGTCTGAACTCTTATAGGAGTTTTTGTCTCATCATTGGAAATCATCACCAGGATGATGAATATAGCTAATGAGTTACATTGGTTTTTGACATGATGCATGTTTTGTTCATGTTAAATGTTTTGTAGTTATTACATTCTGATATTTTTATTATTTTTGTATAATGTACTCTTTGCTAGTTTTCGTTTAACTTTGGTTACAGATGTACCTGCATTTTAAGATTGGCCAATTCCGTACTAAGGCATTTTTCATCTCAGCCAAAAATAATTTAATATTTACTTACATATCAACAGCACCGGGTGTACCATTTGTCTGATTAGCTTGCTCAGGAGTCATTTTTCCCACCAAAAGGTCCAACAGATTTTTGGCTGCAGCGTGTTTGGCGTCTTTCTTGGATCTGCCAGTTCCGGTAGCGACGAACTCGTTATTCAAAAATACCCTGTATCTGAAGACAGGCTCATGGATGGCACCTTCAATTTGGAGGAGCTCATACTTCGGCGTGATGCCGCGTCTGCTCAGCAATTCTTGCAGAACTGAGACAGGGGTTTTGCTGTTGGATCCTCCGTTTACGTCGGAATTGTACACCTTGAATCAAAATAATTATAAAATTAGGAAATTGCAATAACAAGCAAGAGAATTAATATAAAAGTTGTTCAATAGTAAGGATCTGTTCAGTTTCCCATCGTCTAAAATAATTATTTTTTAGAGTTTCCTTTTTTTCCTCACTATACAAAATTATGAAATTAAAAGTTCTTATTGTATCTTGAAGTTGTATTTGTGAAATATTGAATAGGTACATCTATGTAATGTACATGTATAGATAATTCATCCATGGCTATGAAAATCCAGGGAGATTATGGTAGCCCTGATATATAAACAAAAAATCCTTATATTTAAAATGTCCGGAAACAAAAATAAAAATTAAAATAAAATAATTAAATATGTTTTTTTTTTTTTAACAGCGTTTTGAAGATAAGTCCTTGTACAACAATGTATCACAATAAATATCTTCAACTAAAATTTTGATCTTCAAAAACCCATATTTGTTAAATAGTGGAGTTGAAATATTCCTTAAAATTCGATTATGACCATCCGCGATATGATCAAGATTCGATTATGCAAGATTTTTAAAGTTTCTCAAAATGACTCAATAAAAGGAATTCCATGTTTTCAGTAGTAACGAAAATTGTCAGAAGCTCTTTGAGCTTTGAACCTTTTTCTGTTGTCTTTGGGGTCGTAGCAGTTTTGAGCCGCATAAATACACAAAATTAGTCCCAATCCGGTAATTTAATCCTCAGATTGTTCTTCCATGAGATTCATTTCGATAAAAAGATACAAGAAAACCCCCAAAAGACAAATTATTATCAAATCACTCATAATGGCAAAATGAGAATGCAAAGAGTAATAGATTTGGTACAGGTTCAGTGTATTCACCAGCCAGATTGCAAAGGGTTAAATTACAATGTTAGACATTTGTTCAAAACATTGTCTTATTGATAGTTTTTCTAGGTATCAGTTATCAAAAACAAAACAGCTATCAGTTGGAAATAAACCTAAGTAATACTGAGATGTCCTTAGCAATCGAAACGAAAGAGACTTTAAAGCCGGGATCAGAATATTCATCACCCTCAGCTTTCGAGTTATTGTAATAATTGTTCACCTCTAGGGTTCCCAATGCTCAAAACGAGAAATACTTCAATGTTTGTCGTGCCTCATCAATTATCATGCCACTAATTAATTATGGTTACCACATTAGTATTTCTCGTTTTGTGTAACATAACAGGTGTAAGATGGGAGGAATTTTATAGAACTTTGTCTCAATTTCAGTGTTTGTTAACATATTTTTTGTTTTAAAGAGTTATCCTGTTAATAAATAAATAAATAAATCAATAAAAAACGAAGTTTATTATCTATCATCAGTTACATTTTGTTCTTTTCTAATTTTTCTTTTTCGATTTCTTCGTCCCACTTGTCCAGCTGTTCCTCAGTTGCACGTCCGCTTTTTAAGAGTTCCAGGTCCTCCTGCAACTGTTCGTATTCGGCTTTTTCTGCAGCCATAAGTTTAGCCAGTTCGACTTTCCGTTCAGCCGTTAACCTCCTTTGCAAAGATTGAACTGGCGTTTCCCGAGAAGTCGAAGTCGATTGAACGGTGCTGAGCAAAGCATAGTACTGAAGACAACATTTTTTTTGGCCGAACCAACCAATTGGCCTATTCGGTTCCGCGAATTGCTTTATGTACCGACTTATGGACCTCCAGTTTCCATCTCCGTTTTTGGCAACGAGGGTCACCAAGGCAAGCTTTTCTCTCACGGACCATTCCTGTTTTTCTTTTTTCTGTTTCTGCATCACAATGATTTCTGCAATGGAATATTTGTAGTGGTTATAGGGAATGTGTGGAGGGCAAAATAAACTTACCTTATTTGATTAGCGTCCTAATTGAACTCTCTCTTCCTAAAACCACAAATCAATATGGCCAATATGGGTGGCAATAAAGACAATATGACCAATATGGCGTCATCGAATATGACACATGACAGGACAGAGGGGTAGGCACCCTACGCAAATTTTCTGATCTTTATTATACATTGTTGCCAATCCTGGCCCACAAGACATTTGAAAATGAACATTGCACCATTCCTCCAGAAAATGTTCAGTTAGTGTGTCATGAAACTAATTGGGGACCAAAGATCGGTCCAAAAAAAGGGTTACAAAAATTCGGTGCAGACATTTTAATTATTTTATTACCCTTCTATGGTGGTTCCCAATCGGTGCAGATTTGAATGGCATCTTAACCGCGGGATCCCAATTCGAGACACCGGATTTAAAATATTTCAACATCCCAACCATCCAAGATGGAAATTTGAGCTGCAGTTGGTATCTTTGTTGATATTAGGTTCACTCATTCCATGACTATGTTCTTGGGCCATCCTTAAACTCTCGTATCGGACGTGGATCTGCAACTGTTCTTATACCTACTGTTTCAATTTTTGTGAGTAGTGCGTGTGAAACCCGAACAGGCTCTAATTATCCTAATTTCGGTTCTTTGTTTTTGCCAGTCGACAGTTTATACAGGAGGAATACAATTTAGCGTTGTAATACTAAATCAGTTTTTTCTTTGAAAATTTCGTTTTCAAAAATTGCCTAACCAAATTTCTAGTAGAATTAAATTCGAACATATGGCTCCAAGGGCTGGGATTCTTTAACGAATAGCGATATTTTCGCTATCTCTATTGAAGTCCCCTCTCTATTGATTTCGAAAAGAGAGAAGAAGACAGCAAGTGCCATAGCGATATCGATAACGATCTCTATTCGTTACAGAATTCCGCCTCTGGAAAACCGTAATTTTATTTTCCGTGTTGTTTTTTAAACTGCTGCAAAACGCGGGATAGGAAAATGACATCACTTTCTAAAAAATTCGAGGATGCCGAGTTTCTCGGGTAAGTAAATAATTCCAAAGCATGGCTGACATAATTCTAGTTATTTCATATGTAAGCTTTGAAAAATCAAAATTCAGATACGAGTTTTTTTTTTACAATTCAGGATTATTCCTGTGATGATCCCAGATCCCAGGAATAATCCCGACTCACAAAATATACATACATACATACATACATACATATATTTGGTAAGTCGGGATTAATCCTGAGATAGTGCTTCCAAGTCAGGAATAATCTCGACTTACAAATTATCTCGGGACTAATCCTGACATCTCGAAAATAATCTCGACTTAAAAATTATTTCAGGATTAATCCTGACATAGTGCTGGTCAGGATTAATCCTGACATAGTGCCGGTTTCTCAATAGCGAGTCACCTGCAAGATGGTTTTAACTCTAGGGTAAGCGTGTCCAGTTGCTATGTTCACCCCGGAGTTATGCTTAACCCGCAGGTGACTTGCTATTGAGAAACCGCCCCTTAATGTGTCCAGTTCCAATGTTTACCCTGGAGTTATGCTTAACCCGGGGGTGACTTGCTATTGAGAAACCGGCGGAATAATCCTGAGTTGTAAAAACTCGTATCTAAATTTTGAGCCTTCAAAGCCTCCGTAATTTCACAACCTGGAACCTATTTTCGTCCTTTATTTCGTTATAAAAAAATAAAGGATAGAGGTAGGTTTATTCGGTGAACTTTTGCTACCTAGTATAATGATCATTGATCCTAGAACATTTAGGCATTTCTAATGTGGTGCAAAGATTCTTTTAAAAAAAATAGGGGACCCGTATTTTTTATTTTTGTGTAATGGCCGTTTTCGTCCGAGTAACAGCCCTTTAAAATTCGCCTCTTAGAATAGTATTTTTTTTTATTTCTTAGAAAATAGAACCCTGTTGTAGTGTACAAGAATCACCATGTTTGGTACCTACACAGGGGTTTTCTAATATGAAGAATAAGATGGTGCTACGCTCTTAGGCAGATTACCCCCTTAAGACACTCTTTCGTGTATTTGGAGCCTCAAAACATTCGAATCTCGATATGCATTCGATCATATTTTGCCATTTTTCTCGAAACAATGTGTTTAACGAAAAAATTTCAAGAGACAAAAAGATTTCTAAATTGAATGGGCCTTCCAACTGGATGAAATTTCTTTGAAAAATTCAAATTCGCAACCAAAGTTTCGAGGCTCCAAAGCTCACGAAAAAGTGTCTTAGGGGCTCCTCCGCTTAAAAACGTGAATTCTTCATGTCATAAAATCCCTGTGTACCATACATATACCATATACATACTATTCTTAGGGGCGAATTTTAGGGGGCTGTAGCTCCGAAAGGGGAGGTCGTTTACCAAAAATAAAAAATAAGGGTCCCATATTTTTTTGAATCTTTGAACAAATGTTGTTGCATTTTTTTTGGATACACTGGTACATAGAACAAAAAAATAATTACTAAATCAGGGGTCATGCTTTTACATGCGATCTCATGTATTGGAAAATGTCTCATGTTTTTATAGTGCCGGTACTTTTGCTCTTATTTGACAGCCGTCAAAAATAATCAGGGTTTTGAATGTGCTCTAACCACATCATACTTGTATAGACCTTGGCCCATGCAAAACTTTGACGACGTATCAAATTCGTGAATTGAGAACAAAAGTATCTGCCCTTAATGTAACATGGCTGTTCGCCATTTTTTTGTATGCAACCTACTTCGAAAAATGGCAACTGACGAGCTAATTTAAGTTATGAAAACCGTCTCTCTAGCATCTCAGTCTTTAAAATATGCGTAAAGTCAGGTCATAAGAGTCGCACCCGTCACAAATTGATTTAATCGAAAAAAAATTCATCGTAAGTTTTGCTGACAGCAACAAATTTTGAAAAACCAAAATAGGGGTGCAAACTTCATGCCGCAATTGATTCAAGAGGAGTTATGATGACATTTCTTGGTCTACGCACTCTAGTTTTATGATTCTTGATATGAAATACATATAATAGACATGTGACCGAAGCCGAATAATTATTCGGTATCGATCTATTCGGCGTTATTTATTTTTGCTATTCGGTATTCGGCCGAATATTCGATTTTCACTACCGAATATTTCATGTTTGAATATGTTGGTGAAATTAGTAAAAAACACTTATTTTTCAACTTTTTTTCAATCAATATTAATCCAAAAAATAAAAGAATATGAAAAAACAAACTACAAACTTAAAAGAAAGAAGAAGAATTATTATATTCTTTCTCTAAAATATTAATATGGTAGAACAATAAGGGGTAGAATATCCAATATTGAAAATCGATAAGTGGAAGGTTACGATGTAGGAATACCAAATGCTTCGCTCTATCGCATAGTAAGTTTACTGGTCGAAAATAAGGGCAATCTGTAGTTCGAGAATTAATATTAGCCCCAGCTTTCACTCCAATCCTAATTTGAGGCAAAATATTTTATTTTGTGTGCAGCTCTGGGAAGAATGTTTGTGCTTTCCGTGTAAATAACACTGTTCCTATGCTATCAGAAAAATGAGAATGAGAATAATTGAAGCTTGAGACCAGAAGACTAGAAACCCTTAAAAGAAACTCAAGAGAAGCTACCGGAGAAAAATAGAACACAAGGAAAAAAGAACATCATCGGTTGATGCTGTGGGAGGTTTCGAGGTTCCTAGGGGCGAAGCCAAAAAACAAACAAATTATTCCCATCCATTTATGTCATCAAATCAAATATCTTACCATTTTCGCTTCCTCAGTCAAAGTGAGCTTCTCACTAGGGATCTGCATGGCCTTTGGATTTTTTGGCTTCCTGGTGTAGTGGGGTCCGGTGCCAGTTGGAGGTGGAACGGGTGGTGGTTGATGTTGCATCATGTGATGGCCTACTTGGTCCATGGGCCGAGTCTGTAAAAAAGAGATAGAAACATTTAGAGAATTGAGTATAAATAAATCATTAGGAACAATTTGAAGGAAAAATTCTGTCTGAATGGAATCCTCAAAAAGTTACAAGTTACAATTTGGATCAACCTCAAGATTGAAGATTGGATTGCTCTTCTGTGTTAGCAGGATACAATAAAAACTTTTGATTTGTGGGGAAAGCTGACATGCTTAAAAAGTGGATCGCAATTGATAGAAAATGCAAAAAATATGACATGACAATCGTCAATGCTTTTATTGTGAACGTTATTCTGATGGCAACTCATCTCAGGAAAATTTTGCATATAGTTTTCTCAGATGGTAACCATTGTTTTCACCTGACTAAAAGTCCTAAATATGAAGATATCTAGTATCTACAATGTTTATTAATTTTTTTAATCGATAGCATGCAATTTAGTCGTTTCACGCAGGGAAATATGTATAGTCCGTCGATTTTAATCTGATACTCGAAAGAAATGTGAGTTGGTGGCACCCTAGATTGAACGCCAATGGTCACCTGACGTCACACCTGTACTTGCTATATACTTCACCCCCTCGCTCCTCATACTGAAAGTGTCAGATTAAAAACGTCGGACAATATATGTATATGTACTTGTTGCCTTATTTTAAATTTTATTTAAATTAAATTTCACATTTCCAATTAGCTTTACTGCCATAAATCATCTGCTTACCTGATTGGACCCCATTGTTTGAATCCCCAAAATTAACTTTAGAGAAAAGGTGGTACGGTAGGTAAGTTTATAGCAGCTATAGGTAAATGTCTTTTTGACGGCAATTAAATTTTAACGCTATTCATGCCATGGAAGCTCGTAAATTTGAAACTCGATATTATTTACCGTACCACGTGAATTTCGTATTTTATTGATTGACGTTTAAATGTATCAGGTAGATGATTTATGGCAGTAGAGTCAAATGAAATATGAATCCTAAGCATAAATCTTGAGGCAAGACCTGCTTATCGGTATTATGATTTATACCAGTTTTATCGTCTGTGGTATAATTTACAGTGTGTTGGATTTTAGAGGCATGCAGCCGTTTTAATAATTAAAATTGATTAAAAAAATTCTTCGCTCGACTAAATTTTTTTATCAATTTTAATTAAAACGTCTGCATGGCATTATGATTTATACCTATTCCATAGACCTTAAAATGCAACGCAAAATCTTACCAAGACAAGAAAAGAAGGGCTAGTACCTATGTCCTAAGAAAAATCTATTCAATAAGATACAACTGGTTCATTATTTAAACATTTAATTTAGGTAGGTACTTCTTCAAAATGGCCACCAAAAACCTAAACCCGCCAATAATAATAAAGTTCAAGCTAAATTTATTGTAGTGATACTACCATAACCAGGTCCAAACAAACGTCAGAATCACTATTCTGCAAAATCTACTTTCATAATAAATAGAAGCATGACTTATTTAAGATCTAGTGGGTGGGTAAAATGGGTAAAACCTACGTATTTTATAGATCTCAAAAAGCAACGCAAGAAAATGTTAAAAACACTGAAGGTATCAATTTTATGCTTAATTATTTGAACATTAATTTACCTTATTTTCAATATAATATGCCAAAATAGTCTTTGACGACTGCCACACTAGCCAAACGGCTTCCACTCAACTGACTGAACGAAAAAGGCATACCTTTCCTACCCTCTGGTACATTTTACATAAAGCAGAGGGGCTGGTTTATTAAATAACAAATATTAGGGTCAAAATTCTAGGAACTTTGCTTAATAATACTGACTCACAGATTTGTTAAATAATAGTAGGTAGAGATTCAAAATATGTATATCTTTGACTTGACTCTCATTGCAAAAATTAACTACCTGATTGAACCCGATTGAGCAGGTAAAGGTGTGAACTTTTTTATTTTTAACGATTTCAAAGTTGTGTATTTACTGAGTAAAGATACAAACAATACCTATTTGACGTTTATTTCATCATCGGGAGATAAATGGATACCTTATCTTTTTAAACCAACAATACCAGATGCTCCCAATTATCAGCATAAGACCATGGGCGGAGGCGCTACGTTATAACGAAAAAATCCAATAGGAACTAAAAAAAGAATATCAGGAAGACTTTTAGGTGAGTCTATAGGCTTCTAGTCTATAAGTATCTAAAACACTGTAGAAAGAATAATATTTATTGATCATTTTGATGCCAAAGTTATTGTCCGTCGTTTTTAACCTGACACTTTCCGTATGAGGAGCGAGGGGGTGAAGCTTATGGCAAAAACAGTTGTGAGTCAAGTGACCATCGGCGTTCTAATGTAGGGAGCCACCCGCTCACAATCACATTCCTTTGTAGTATCGCATTAAAATCGACGGACTTCTATATTTCAAATTTACGTGGTATGATAAAAGATCTGCTAATAAAAAAGTTAAAAATACCAATAAATATTTGGGATTTTGGTGTAAAGTTATAAACACTGAATTTACAGCTCATTCAGCTGGTCTCCAGGTCCATCAACTTAGCGAAACAACTTTGAAAATTCGAATTGCCATTATACAGGAAATATTTCGCATTATTTAGGTGGTTCGTTAACTACTAACATCAAGTTACCGAGAAATCACTAAAAAACTGTTGGTAACAATAAGGCTAAATAAGTGAAAATTCGCCTCTAATTAGTCGAGGAATTGAAAAATGTGCCGCTCACTCTTTTTTTTTTTAAATCTAATTTGATGTCCAGACATCACTAAAAATGAATGTAACAGGAAATTGAATAATGTTTCGCCACATTTTAAGTTCTTAGGTTTAAACTGTGACAAACATGCAGGAAGGGAATCAGTGCTCCGCCTTAATAATTTCAAATTTCTGCCATACTTCCTTCCTTAGGTCGGAGAGAAGAGGTTCCGTGAACAAAATTAGAAATTTCTCCACCTTACCAAAAAAAAAAGTTTAAAGAATAGCCGCGTATCGTTTGGGTATGTAACCGGTGAATTCCTGACAAAAATTGGATGCGGTGTTTTTTTTTTTTTATCAGAACTTTTTGTTAACACTGGTCCCCCCAAACCAAAATCCTGGATACGCCTATGGTAACAGAATACCACGCCGTCTGGTTTTTATCAGTCGCCGCCGCCGCGAAGGCATCAGCAAAGCCTGCATCATACAAATACAAAAACCGTGTCGCGGAATATATGAAAGGGGACCCTCAAGAACATCAACGACTCTATGGGGTTTTACGCTCTTTTGTACTGACGGCTTGAATAGCAGCAAAATGAATTGGACCTACTACGAAAAATCGTAAGACTTTGATCGTACCTACTTCGCCTTGGCGAGTAGACTTACATTGTTATATGAGGGAAACCAGTAAAAAATCTACTTTTCAGAAAATAGGCAGTGTCGTTGCCACTGAATACACAATAATACCCACACCGACTAAAACAAATTTTCAAAAATACCTTCAGAATCATTCTCATCCTAGATTAGTTTCACTAAAATATCATATTAGTTTATGACATAAGCAGTATTAATATAATGCCATTTCTTACCTTAAAATTTGATTCTTATATGGGGGTACAACAATTCAGTTTTTTTGATTTGGGAATAGTAAAGGAATTGAGAAGATTAAGTGAATTATTCTAGAAGTTAGTTACAGAAAAGCTTAAGCATATGAAACTTAGATATTTTTATAAAAATATAAACTTCTCATGTGGATAATAGTTCCACTGATTCATTGGGTACCCACTAAACATGTAATGTTGCAAAATTTGTCGGCAATATTGTATTGACCTTGCTTTAGAAAATTTATTAGGTAATGTGACGTTAAGCTTTCTGAAATATTACTTTCCCAATGTAAAGGGATATAAATTTGATATAACTTCAATAGAGAAACATTCGTTTTAGTTATTAAGTAAAATGTTGCAGTAGATACAATAAATGTATTACATTTGAAACATTATAAAATATAAGTAAAGCAAATATTTTAACAAGGTTATAAAACGTAACTTTTCTCAACTATGTGACTTTAATGTTGCGGAAATATTTACGTTTGTAACATTAAAAAAATAAAATAAAATACATGGTTGCATGAATATTATAAGCTGAACTTTTCTTAAAATTGTCGCTGTAATGTTGCAGATACCTTTACATGCGTACGTTAACAGTTTCAAGAATAAAAAACGTTACCTAAATATTTCAACATAAACTTTGGAATAGGAAACATACATTTTCTCAATGTTGCATAAAACTTGCAGATAGATTTTTATTTGCAATATGCTGTCTTTGTCTCTGTTATGCAAAAATATATTTGAGTGACAAAGACGGGACAATTGTTTGGGAATTCGGAACGGCGCAGAGTTACCACCCATTTGTTGTTGACCTGTTGACGTCACGCCACCAAAAGCCAGGACAAAAGGACGGAGGACGCAGACGACGCTTCTTTTTTCTTGGCATGATAAATAATACAAGAGAATCGAACAGGACGAAAGGGTTCATCAAGATCTTGAGATGTTGGGAGAGGAAGAGAATAAAGCCAATGTAAGATTTTAACATTTTAATTTTTTGTTAATTTTTAATACTGTTTAATTTTTAATTTTAGGTGGCTTTTTTACAATATGTTGGAGGAATCGATGAAAAGGCATGTGTGATAAGATCAATTTGGAAGTTTATTATTTAACCATTGTGCCATGGTCTGTACTTGGACCACAGCTTGTTGGACTGGCAGAGAAGGAAATTTAAAAATAAAGGATCTTGCATTAATGCAAATCCTTACGATATATTAAATATCTATCATATATACAATATTTCATTATGTAAATTTTGTAAAGTACCAATAAAAATATTGCAACTGTAATATTTATCTAACTTTATAAACAACGTTAAATGTAGGTTTCTGTAAGCTAGCATTTTGAATGTTACAAACGTAATTTATTTTTTATGAAAATACAAGATTGAGGCGATATTGCAGAAAAGTTTATTTTGTAAACATTGCATTTGTGAATATTAGAATAAGTCCGATT